CTTATAAGGGGGGATGCCCGGGGGTTCGGTCTGTCGAGTTAAGCTCTGCTAATAGGAGCTGAACCTGCATGTGTGTCGCGGTGTTTTCGTGAGTGATGTCGCATGACTGACTGGCGCCACTTGTGTGTGCCAAACCTTCGGTAAATTCCATCGGCCTGTCTGTGTTTATCCCTGCCCTGTAGTGCATTAAAGCTCATAAATTGGATCCTATGCAACAGTCAGAGATAGGGATGATTTGTGTGGCCGCCTAAACCCAACACGGAAACAGGACCCGCCCACGATGTGTGTGGGTTTGCGCCAAATTCCGGAGAAAGCAGGTGTACAATTAAGGTGAGGATTACGGTCAGGATTAGGTTTAAAGTCGGGGTTAAGGTCAAAGTTGAGGGTTGAGGTCGGGATGATGGCAAGGGTTAAGTTTTGGGTTTGTGTTTGTGTTCACAGTACGGTAAGGTTAGGGTTAAGTTAAAAGTTAAGTCTTATGTTAGGGTTAAGGCAGGGCAATATTTACGCTTCTTGCAACTTATCTCAAGGTGAGTGGGCGAGGCGTCCCTACTCCTGTGTCATGTTAAGGAGGTGTAAGATTAAGATTGGGGTTTGGAATGATGTTAGGCTCAGGATTATATCAAGGTTTGGGCTCGTGCTACCTGTAGGTTTTGGATTTAGGGTAGGACTACGAATGAACTTAAGGTTACGGTTTTGTTTTATGTTAAAGTCGCGGGAATTTCACCTTTCCCGAAGTTCATCATAAGGCTACCTACATATATTAAGTGCGCGGGGCGGCTCCTATTCCTGTATCCCGTTTTGGCGGCCATGCAAGTCACCCTTGTCCCGACATGTGCTTTGCGCTACGAGTACTACACTGCCGCGACCATTTCCTCTGGGTCACCGTGCATGTTTCTGCAAACATGTACCTTCTTATCTCTCCGTCGTTTCGCTCTTAAACATTTATTTTTGAACTTTGTCTAACACTGAGGTTGTAAATATTGCTAGTTAAAAGGACTTCTTGAAGAAATCGGACGGTTGTTTCGCCGATATACTGCCACCGCGTGACACAGCTGTGAGGGTCTCAGTTCATTAGTTGGTGTCGCGGAGTTCTTCGTCCGCTATCTGGTAGATACTCCATTTTTGCAATCGCTGGCTCGAACAGTATACGTCAATTTAGTGTCAAGCAGTCTGAGTTAAGCGCCGACTGAAAGTAGATATTAATATTTGAGCATTTGAGCAAGTCAGAACAAGACGTTTATTAGCCCAAGGTTTTGGCTTCTCCCCCGTACCCATCATCAGGAGTCTCAAATCAGGATAGCAGAGGCACCAAGAGCGCAGTATTTATAATCGGTAGTACCCACGCGACCACATGTGTATTACAAATAACAGCTCCCGCGGTCACCGCTGGGGTCGAGGCTAACTTATCAGTTCGTTTACGAGCTGGAAGTGAGCCGCGTGGTAGATGCGTTGGACCAAAACAGCGGTCGCGCGTTATTTGGGTTGCGCTACACTAACAAATGTCGAACCTGAGTGCGGGTGGGGGCATGGTGGTACGCGTATGTGTAGACTCACGCCGCACCAGCCGCCTGGCCCGACTTCGCCCGCGGTTGTTCTGTTTCTGTCTTGACACCCGGCACAGGTGGATGATGAAATAGAGTTCGGTAGATGCAACGCAAGTCTACTATCGGTTAAAAATAATAAACGGGCAATTCACCGTCTATGTGCCATCCTGCTGTGGAGCACACAGTGGACCTCGTCGAAACTCACGTTCAAACTGCCAGTCGTCGCGACTTCCTCCGTGTTAGATGTTGGCACGTTCGTTATTCGGCAATTTGTGTCGCAGTCACTGGAATTGTCGGTCGCCTGCGTCCTCCCCAAGTGGGAAAGGAAGGCCTTTCCGCTTGATGATGAACTGCGTCCCCTAGAACCATGACTCTATAAATGTGGCCGGATGCTGTCGAATAGGCCATACCTCCTCACCTTTATCTGCGACTGTCTCTGATGATGGCTTCGATTGACAGTCCGAAGCATCAGGTCAGTAAACCTCTTGCTCCTGCAATCGCATCTTCGTCTAAGTGGGCCTTGTGCCACAGCACTCAACCTCTTAGATCGAGTTCAATTTAAGCGTTAAGTCGTGCAAACCGACCACGGACGACCAGTGATTTGCCTGTGTGAAGGTAATTGAAGGAGCATATTAGGGATATTAGGCGTTGGCGGACTTTTGTACCCTATTTTCTGAAACAAGAAGAGATGAACCGTCAGTTTGCATGGCTAGCCGAAGAATCGCAATGAACTCCACCCCTGATACCCAGTCTCCGAGTTTCGTCTCGGTAGGAGTACGCGTGACAGTATCAACGAGCCAAGTAACCTAGTTGTTATCACGTCAATGACCACCCACAGGGCTGAGAAAAAGATGCGATCGTTGGAACAAGAACGTCATTTGTTTCACGTTTCAGATTCGCTCTCGAGCTCATTGTCAGAGCCAACACCAACACAGAGGGATTTGCCGTATTTATAAACTGCAGTTTCTATGTGAATACAAAGCCATGAAAATTAACAGCTGCTCTTTTCATCAA